ACACAACAACTACTACTACTACTACGACTACTACTATAGTTATTAGTATTACTTCTACTACTACTACTACTACTACTACTATAGTTATTAGTATTACTTCTACTACTACTACAACAACAACAACTACTACTACTACGACTACTACTATAGTTATTAGTATTACTTCTACTACTACTACTACTACTACTACTACTACTACTACTACTACTACTACTACTACTACTACTACTATAGTTATTAGTATTACTTCTACTACTACTACAACAACAACAACAACTACTACTACTACTACTACTATAGTTATTAGTATTACTTCTACTACTACTACTACTACTACTACTACTACTACTACTACTACTACTACTACTACTACTACTATAGTTATTAGTATTACTTCTACTACTACAACAACAACAACAACAACTACTACTACTACTACTACTATAGTTATTAGTATTACTTCTACTACTACTACAACAACAACAACTACTACTACTACTACTACTACTACTACTATAGTTATTAGTATTACTTCTACTACTACTACTACAACAACTACTACTACAAACAACAACAACAACTACTTATAATACAAATACAATTATTACAAATAACAATAATACCACTACCATTAGTATTATTATGATAACAATAATAATACTCAATCCATAGTAGTAGTAGCACCAACTGGCGTCAACCTAATAAAAACAACAACAATAACAACAACAATAATCATAATAATTATTATTATTATTATTTTTTATTATAATATAATTATGACGTGATGGCAGAAGTTTTGTGGGCGGGCATCTGTGTGGTCTTTAGTTAGATCAAAGCTCACACACGGAAAATACGGTGACAGATATTTTATTACTACTACCACTGCTGCTGCCACTACTGCTGCTGCTACTACTACTGCTGCTTATACTACTGCTGCTGCTACTACTGCTGCTACCACAGCTGCTGCTTTTCTGCTACCTTTACTACTGGAGCTGTTACAGTTGCTTTGCTACTACTACAATTTTTAACTACTACTACTGCTGCTACTACTTATTACTATAACTTTTACTGCTGCTACTACTACTACTACTACTGCTGCTACTACTACTACTGCTACTACTTCAAAAGTACAATGGTTTCAAATACTATCTTCATTAGTAAAGTTGGGCGGATGTGAGTTTCTTTTTACTTCAAATGGCGTTTGAAATTTGCCGCCTAGTTTTCTGTTGTGAAATGTTGTTGATGTTGTTGATGTTGGTGTTTTTGTTGTTGTAGTTGGAGGTGTTTTTGTTGTTGTTGTTGATGTTTTGTTGTTGTTTATGTTGTTTTTTCGATTGACGTTTTGTTGACGTTGTATTGTTGTTGTCGCTGATATTGTTGTTGATGAAGTTGTTATTGTTATAGTTGTTATAGAAGTAGTTGCTGTATTTATTGATACTGTTGTTTAAATCGTTGTTTCTTTGTTGCTGATGTTGTTGTTGCTGCTAATCTAATCACCTTTCTTGTTGTCGATGTTGTTGTATATTTTTTTCTGCCCTGACACACAATGGCATATATATTAGTAGAATATTACTGCTAAAATTTTAACTCAGAGATTCTCTACATACACAACAAGTACAAGACAAATTTTTTTATATGTTGTTTATTAATTTTTATTTTGTTCATAAAAGATAAATATATATATATATATTTTTAATTATTTATTTATAATGCTGTTAAGGCAATGTTTAAAATATTTAACACAAACGATCATAACGATAATAATGATCATAATAATATTTTCAATAATAATAAATATGCTAATAATAATAATAATAATAATAATAATAATAACCATTTTTAGTATTTTGCCTCAAATAATACAAATTTTGGCTAGCAGAAACAGAAACAGTTGTGTTATCATTTCATTCATTCGTTCGTTTTCTTCATTCATTTGTTCGTTCGTTCACTCAATCCTCTATTTGTTTGTTCAGTCGAGCATTCATTCATTCACCTATTCATTCACTCATTTATTCATTCACTTATTCACTGACTCACTCACTGACTCACTCACTGACTAACTGACTCACTCACTGGCTCACTCACTCACTCACTCACTTATTGACTCACTCTCACTGACTGACTCACTCACTCACTCACTTACTCACTCACTCACTCATTCATTCATTTTTCTTCCATTCTTTCGTTTGTGTAATATGAGAAATTTGTACGAAAAAAAATGTTTTGCGTCTTTAAGCATTCATCATCACCAATATGAATGAGTGAGCGAGTGATTAATAAACGAATGAATGAATGAATGACTATTTGACTAAATGGATAAATAAATCAAATAATGGAAGAATGATGGGATGAAGAGACGGACAAACATTGAATCGTACGAAAAATTCTATACTTATAAATAAAAATCTTTAATCATAATAACAAATAATAATAACAACAACAATAATAATTAATAATAATAAGAAGGATAACAACAACAATAATAATTAATAATATATAATATAAATAATGAAATTTTTATTATAATATTCATAATTTCAGTTGAAAATCGCTAGTTATTCTCGCCCCCTCTTGCTTTATACTTCTATTTTTATTATTATTCAGTTTTATATTCGAATAATTAAAATTATTATTATTGTTGTTATTATCATTATTGATGTTGTTGTTATTTAGTTGTTGTTGGTTGTACTTTTTAGCAGTCGATATGCTATCGTTGGATTCAGACGATAAAGGACTGCTACACCGATTATTATTATTATTGTTTTTCTTATTGTTATTGTTATTGTTGTGGTTGTTGTTGTTACTGGCACAGTCCTCGCTGACCTTCTTGTTCTGGTGGGTCTTGAGATGCTTATTGAGGTGGTCACTACGCATGAACCTCTTGCTACAGACCGTGCACACGAACCGCTTCTCGCCCGTGTGTGTCCGAATGTGGCGCTGCAACTCGTCCGACCGTGTGAAGCGCTTGCCACAGAAGAGCCAGTTGCAGACGAACGGTCGTTCTCCGGTGTGCCAGCGTAGGTGCGCCTTTAGGTGCGAAGTTTTGTTGTAGATCTTGCCGCATCCAGGCATGTGGCAGGTGTGGATGTTTCGCTTTCGGTATTGGGCCGAACCGGATATCGGTCCGAGTCGGTCAAGTTCTTGGCAGTTTGGACAGTCGCAAGTGCTTCGACCGGCGTATCGACGTTGTGAGCGAGGACTTGGTGCGACTAATGTGGCCGCGGCGTGGTGCAGAACAAGTCGTTGTTGATTGGTGGCCAGGAGGTTTGCCGGCGCTGGGCCGGTTAAGGTCGGTATAACAGTCGGTTTGTAACACGGATCTATGTAAGAAAAATGATGCTGATGAGGATAGTGATGGTGGTTCATGAAGCTGCTGCTATTGCTTCCACTGGACGTGCTGCCAAGTGAACTTTTGAGCGTGTTGTTGTAGTCGGAGATGAGAGATGTTGAAGAGTTGAACAAGTCGGCACTGCCGAGGCTGTTGTGGCTGATGTTGTTGCTGCTGTTTTTAATGTTGCTGATATTGCTGCTGCTGCTGTTGAAGGCGTTGTAGGGATGTGCGAATGGATTGGAAGTGGCGTTGAAACTCCCAACATGGCCGCCGACCAAATCGTTCCAGCCGTTAGCAGTTGGAACGTTGGCGTTTGGCGGATATGACGTCACACTCCACCACGTCTGATTGTTCGGTTGCGGAAAAAAATTCCCGCCAGAATTTAAAATTTGATTCGTTTCCTGTTTGATCGGGTAGTAAGTGATGTTGTTGGCCGGCGAGATCGTCTGTGACCACGGCTCGAACATTTCCTTAGACGCACCCGTCGGCCATTTTGAATAGGGATGTGCGTGCGGAGCGGTGATGGAGGGAACGTTCAAGGTCCCGGTCCAGTAAGGTGTGACGTCACGATTCAAGATGGCGACATTGTTGTTGTTGTTGTTGTTGTTGTTTACATTGTTGGTGTGATGGTGGTGATGGTAGAAGAAGGAATTTCCTATTGCACATGAAGAAAGCATATTGTTGTAGTTGTTATTATTATTATTGTTGTCGTTGTTGTTGTTGTTGTTATCGTTGTTGTTATTGACAATATCGTTATCATCGATGGTTGTTGATGTTGCGGACGATTTGTTGTTGTTGTTGTTGATGTTGTCAGGCGATATTGATGTGTCCGGCTCAACGACGACTATGGGATGATGCACGAAATGTTTGTTGCTGTTGTTGTTGATGTAATGTTGTTGTTGCAGTTGTTGTTGTTGCTGCTGATGTGATTGAAGTGTGTTGTTGTTGTTGTTGAGACCATTGGCAAAAATATCCAAAGAATAAAACTGATTAATGTTATTGCAGTTGTTGTTGTTGTTGTTACTGCTGCTGCTTTCGGCATTTTTGTTGTTGATGGCAGAATGGTTGATGATGATGTTGTTGTTGATGATGTTGTTGTTGTGGATGTGATAGATCCCACCATCGTCATTTATATCGAACGTGGAAAGGTTTATCTTCCTCCACGGGTGGAATGGTGAAGCGAAAAACGACGCCGCCGTTGGAAATGATGAAGACGTCGTAGTTGCAGCTGCTGAAGCTGCTGTTGTTGCGATGTGGAATGACGAAGAGGTTGTCGCTGTTGTTGTTGTTGTGGCAATACCGTTGTTGGGGTTGTGGTTGGTGTGGTTGTTGTTGTGGCTGGTGTGGTTGTTGTGGTTGCTGTGGTTTGTGGTCTCGACGATTTGGTGGCTGTTGCTGTTGTTGTTGTTGATGCTATGGAGTTTATTGCATTGAGTGGCCAGCATTCGCGTTGTCGATGATACGGCTGCCACAATTGAATGTTTGTAGTTGTGGCTGGCGCTGTTGTGATGGCTGTAGGCTGACGAGTACGAATCCTTTAGTTGAATGAATGAATGAATGAATGAATGAATTAATTAATTAATTAATGAATTAATAAATGAATGAATAATTGCATGAATGTATGATTGTCTGAGTTAATGAATGAGTGAGTGAATGATTGAATTAATTAGGCAGTCGATATTTCATTCAATCAGACAATATTAATCATCCAATCGTTTCATTAATCAGTAGGAAACGTATTCCTTGTATGTTTGTTTCTACGTATGTATGTATGTATGTATGTATGTATGTATGTATGTATGTATGTATGTATGTATGTATGTATGTATGTATGTATGTATGTGTGTATGTACGGAATATGGAGTAGTTGATGAACGGATGGCCATGATTAATGGTTTAAAAAATCTCTTCTCATACCATTCTTTTATTTTCTTTATTCCTTCATTAATTTGTTTTTCATCTCTTAATTCTTTCACTCATTCGTCCATTCATTCGTTCATTCATTCATTCATTCCTTCGTTCATTCATTCATTCATTCATTCATTCATTCATTCATTCATTCATTCATTCATTCATTCACTCATTTTTTTCATTTATTCATTCATTCATTCATCCATTCATTCTCTTCTTTCTTGCGAGCGTCAGCTCCCTTGTATGATTTGAATTCCCTGATGAATCGAACAGAAACTTCCGTTAAACATGTTTCCATACAAACAAACAAACATACTTACAAACAAACAAACAAGCAAAGTTATATACATACATACATACATACATACATACATACATACATACATACATACATACATACATACATACATACATACATACATACATACATACATACATACATACATACATACATACATACATACATACATACAAACATACATACAAAAAAACAAACATACATACAGAGAGAGAGAGACAGACAGACATACAAAATTCAAAACAAATTTCAGCCATCGACAACAAAGCTAATCATAATCATAAACGTCCACAATTGTTATCATCACCCTCATCATCATCATCATCATCATCGTCATCATCATCGTCATCATCATCATCATCATCGTCATCATCATCATCATCGTCATCATCATCATCATCATCATCATCATAACAGATTGAGACCCAAAATAAGAACTTATTAACGGGTGCCAGTAACATCCGCAACAAATGCCCTACTAATGTGCCATGTATGTTTGTATGTATGTTTGTATGCATGTACGCATCTATGTATGTATATTTGTATGTTTGTTTGCATGTATGTATGCATGTTTGTTTGTGTACATGTCTGTATACGTGTTTTTTCCATGCGTACCTATGTATTTGTTTAATAAATCAAGATATATGTTGCTTCAGACACATACAGGCATACATACACACACATACATACATGCATACATACATACAGGCATACATACATACATGCATACATACATACATGCATATACACATACATACAAACACATACAATGTTTGTATGTGTTTGTTTCTTTGATTCGCTTTTCATTCTTTAAGCAGTTGCAAATGAAATTGAATTAGTCAGCGCGTCAGTATACGAAGACATACAATTTGAAAAATGACCACTATGCGAGATTGTGTCTGATTTTCTCTTTCGATTTCATCCTATTTCTCCCTCTCTCTCTCTCTCTCTCTCTCTCTCTTTATCTCTCTCTCTCTCTCTTTTTTCTCTCTTTCTTTTCTGTTTTCTTCTCTAAATCTCTTTTTCGTAATTTAAAAAAGTCACGGTTTTCAATTTTCTGCTTAGCGTTTCATTCATATTTTATCGCCCGTCGATCATATTTGCGCATAGATAAACAAACATACACACACATACACACACATACACACACATACACGCACACATCTACACACATACACACACATCTACACACACATACACTCACATCTACACGCACAAACACACACACATACACACACACACACACTGCAGACGCTTAAGACGAGACGGATTAATGGATAAGTTTCGATTGTCGCCCAAATTAGTTCAGTATCACCGATTCAACCGCAGGGTTATACAGGGGACCTTTTAAGGTGCTTAAACTGGACGACAATTTAGTTTTATATTCACCGGAAATGAACTGTTGAACCTTAAGGTTCTAAATTATTTTGACGTTTGAGATTGGCACTATGTGATTGTGTTGTTTTGTTTCAATGTGTATATGGGGATGTGTGTTTCTGTATGTGTGTTTGTATGTATGTTGGTATGTTTGTTTGTTTGTATGTATGTCGGTATGTATGTATGTTTGTATGTATGTTGGTGTGTATGTTTGTATGTATGTCGGTATGTTTGTTTGTTTTTATGTATGTCGGTATAAATGTTTCTTACTGTGCATGCTTGTATGTCTGTATGTGTCTGTATGTTTGCTTGTATGTATGTTTGTATGTGTTTGTATGTTTGTTTGTATGTATGCTGGTATGTATGTGTTTATGTTGTGGTTTTTCAATATCATTTTCGTTCATATAAGTATAATGACTTTAGATTTGGGAATCGGTTAAAATAAGTTTTTAAAAATTGAAAAACGCAAGATCATTGAAAAATATTAAATGCTCACCATCATCACCATCATCATCATCATCACCATCATCATCATTATCATCATCATCATCATTATCATCATCATGGCCATCATTATCTTGATCAAAGTTTTCATCATAACCACGTGACGACAATAACAAATTTCGTCCTTGAGGACATATTTATGGCGTCAGGGGTCACAGATGTCAAATGTTTTTCAAGGTCATTCAATACGATTGGAGGTCATTCATGTTACAATCGTGAATTTTTATTGGCTGATGGGTTGATGGATAAATGAATGATTGAGAGAACGAGTGAAATGGATTGCTAGGTGGATTGTTGCTAAGGAGTTTAAATTCATTGTTAGCAAGTTATGAACCATAGAATAATAAGTGAATAAAAGAACAGTTGAATGAACAAATGAATAAATAAATGAATAAATGAATGAATGAATGAATGAATGAATGAATGAATGAATGAATGAATGAATGGAATGAGTTTATTTCAATACCTGTTGACAATTCTACATTAATGA